AGGCTTGAGCCACCACGCCCAGCTGAGATGGGGTTTCACTGGGTTAGCCAGGATGGTCTTGATCTCCTGACCTCGTGATCTGCCAGCCTCAGCTTCCCAAAGTGCTGGGATTACAGGAGTGAGCCACTGTACCCAGCCCAGTGATAAGAATTTTTAATAAGCATGTGTGGTAACTTTGATGCCTGTGATCTGTGGGCCACACAGTGAGCCTGGCAAAGACTGCCTCCCAGTGAAAGGACATTGAACCTGTCAATATAGGGACACTTGATCCAGATAATTTAAACAATCCCTTTCTGTCTCATTCCTTCATCCATCCAACTATCCATTCTTCCATTCAGCAAATATTTATTAAATGTCCACTTTATGCCAAGCATTGTTCCAGGTGCTGAGGAGGATATAGCAGAGAAAAACATCTAGCATCTGACCTAATGAAATTTATCTTCTAGTGAGAGGAACGAACAGAAAGAGAGTGAGAGGAAAAAAGGAAGAGAGAGGGAAAGAGTGAGAGGAAAGAAGGGAGATAAAAACATTTCACCTGTAAAAATTTTTGATGTGTCTCTAACATATAAGGACCAGCTCTAGCACAAAAAGATGTTCCTGGTTCATCTTGAACATTTTCTGCCCCAGGCTAGCAATCAGCCATTATTCTGAGGAGTGCTGGTTCCTCTTAGCAGGAAATGGTATTTAGAGACCACAGTGTGGGAAGTAAAAGTGCTCCATTGCTATGGAGTTGTCGTTTATTTCAGGTGTTTTCAGTGGCGGGAACTAGAAAATACATATTTTTAAAAGAGAAACAATTATGCATTCAGATATTTCACATTTATATTTAAGAATGCAAGCATTTTATATCAGTTTTATATTTGTACCTCTGCTATCTTACACTAAAAATCCTAGTTCTAATGACATTAGCATTATTACTTATATACATACAGTAGTGTCAAAATAACTATGACAGTATTACCAACCAATATTGAGACAGTAAATATAATTTAAGATTTTCTTGTGATTATTTATGTTCATTGGATGTATTCCTATGTAGTAGTATACACTTATATGGATATATTTTAAAGTCACTTGAGATAATTCTCCTCTATGTGTTTATTAATTTTTCAATTTGTTATAGAGTTATGTTCATTTGTTTTTCTTTTTTATGGATTCCTTTTCTCCCTATTTGATTTAATTTTAAAATTTATGATAACATTTACATGGTTCCAAAATAAAAACTTTTTAAAAGATACAGTTAGTCTATCCTCTATCCCTGTTCCCTTTACCTTCCTCTTACCCTCTCCATAACTAACAATTTTTATCAGTTTTTCATTCATCCTTGTATTGTTTCTTTTGAAAATATGAGCAAATCACACAAAATATACAATTGTATTTTCTCCCCTTTCTTACACAAAGAGTACAATTCTATAAATACTATTTTGTCCCTGGAGAGAATTTTACAGGAGTATATACAGGTCTCGCTCTTTCCTTTTGCAGTTGCACAGTACTCCACTGTGGACGTAGCATCACTTACTCAACCAGTCCCTACATTAACGACGGTTGTGTTGTTTGCAGTCCTTTGCTGTTATAAACTGCTGGGATGAACAGCCTGTTGTAAAACTGTGTTCCACAGCAATGTGTGAGACAGCCTATTTCCTCACAGCCTCTCCCACAGAGCATATTATCAAACCTTTGGGCTCTTGCCACCTCAAGAGTTGGAAAATGCTGTCAGAATGATGTTTTAATGTGGCCTTTCTCTTCTTCTGAGTGTAGTTTAACATCTTTTATATGTTTAAGGACCATTTTCTTTTTTTGTCTATAAACTGTCTATGTATTCTGCTGATAAGGTGATATTTGGACAGAGACCTGAAGACATGATCATGTAGATACCTGGAGGAATAGCATTCTAGACAAAAGGAACCACAAACATAAAGGCTTTGAGGCAGAAACCTGCCTGGCATGTTGAAGGATAAACACAAGGAAGAATGTGGCTGGAGGAGAGTCAGCAAAGGGAAGGAGAAGTAGGAACAGGAGCAGCCAGATCTAGTAGGTCTTGGAGGCTGCAGGATGGACTTGGCTATTCCCCTAAAGGAGGAGAAAGCCACTGGAAGGTTAAGACAGAAGACTGATAGCAGCCTGTGCATATTCCCACAGGGCCACTCTGTCTGCTAGGTAGAGGATCGGCTGCAAGAGTGAATCAGGGAGGTCAGTTAGGAGGCTGTTAGGAGAGTCCAGATGAGCAATGACGCTGGTTGGGACCATGGCAGCAGCAGAGGTGGGAGGAGTGGTTAGATTCTATTTTTTTTTTTTTTTTTTTT